ATACCTTTTCCAAGTATATTAGCATGTAAGTGAATGTAATGGATCTGACTAGAATTCGAACTCAGCTCTCCGATTCCTCAATCCGAGCAGCTATCCATTACTGCACCAATGTCTCCTAATTCAAAAAATAACATTACATGCATATTAAATATAAATTAAAATATTTAAACGATGAGGATGTTAGTGAATCAAGATAAGTTCGGGATCTTCAACACCAACAGCAAGTTGGTCCTACTTTACGGCTCAGAAACCTGGTAAGTAACCAAGGCCATGACCCACAAACTTCAGACATTTACCAACCAATAGAACCTTTTCAATATTAGGTCAGGTCTCCAATGATCAACTGTGGGACACGACTAGACAAGCCCTAACCTAGATTGATATCAAGAAATAGAAATGGGGATGGTTTGGTCACACACTCCGCAAACCTGCTTCTAGTGTCACCAGGCAGGTCCTTGACTGGAATCCACAAGTGAAGCAAAAAGTGGGTCAACCAAAACAGATTTGGGACAGAAGTGTTGACATAGAGGTGAAAGCAACCAGCACGACATGGGCTGAGCTGAAGAGGATTGTCTGGAACAGCATCTGTTGGAGAGGTGTTGTTACGGCCCTATGTTCTACAGGGAACCAAGTGGCATAATAATCTTACTTATTATAAAACGCAGATTGTGTGTGTGTGTCTGTATGTTTATATATTGGATTGGATTGGATTTCCCACATTTTTCAACAAAACTTCACAGGGCTACGTAAAATTACCTTGTGGTGGTTCTGACAGTGCCAAAAATTGGAAAAACAATTGTTTTTGCACAAAATCAATTTGAAAACATGATTAAGAGGCATCACGAGAATGAAAGGGGGACAACTCATATCGAGTTATACTTATTATAAAACTCAGGTTGTTTGTTTGTGTGTGTTCATTTATATATGGGATCAGATTTCCTACATTTTTCAACCGATTTCAACAAGACTTCACTTTTTTTTGGCAGGTAGTGTTTCTTATCGTCTTGCATACTTTTTTTCTTTTTTTTACATTCAGAATGCTTTAAAAATTCCATTTACAAGACAATTGTTTATAATAAAATTCTATTCAATTAATAGACTCATAAGGATTGAAAACACTGTTTTTGTTTGAGTTTGACCAATTCGTAAAAACAAAAAAACTAATTAAGACATGCGTGTCCGTCAACCTTAAACAATAATCTTTGTCAATTTTATTTTTCAGTCTTTATGATGGTCGATACTTGATCTATCTCTTACTGTTACATCCCTGGGCAATGCCGGGCTCTACTGCTAGTGATAAATAAAATAAAAGTGTTAGTGAATCTCTACGAAACAAAAAGGCCAGAGAGTATTTCAGCCAAAACTGGGAATGTTAGTTTCAATAATTCAGTTAGGATAAAGTATCTTACCTTAATGATTCGTCCATCAGTTGTTCCAATAAATGCTACTGTATAATCATAAGTAATCGACACAGCCACTGCCGAGACAGTCGTCGATTTAAGGACCAGTGTGGGTTCAGCATCAACTGGCATGCTGCCAGCAATCGGAGTATTGATGTCCAAAGAGCCACAGTAATTGTCATCAATTTGTAATCTCTGGAAAAAGAGAAAATAAAAACGAAATTAGGAAATCGGATCAAATTAATGGTCCAAGCTGAAATAAATAATTTTATCTACAGTTCAGTTTGTGGCTTTAAATAACCTACAAATGGTTAATTAGCTATAGAAAATGAATCAATCAATGAAATACTGATTTAGCTACACAGGCATGATTTTTACATTGTATATCTTTATATTCTAGAGATTGTATATCAAACTACCGTGGCTACAAAGTGACGGATCAGTTTATATATTGACTGTAATGTAGAATTGATCCCCCACTTTTTATCCACATTATAATTACTTGTTTGTTGATAAGCCGTAGAAAACAAATGATTCAATCAATGAAATACTGATTAGCTACACAGGCATATCTTTTAGATTTATTTACAGTCTCTGGAATATGAATGTATAGAAACTGCAGTGACCACAAATTGAGGGATCAGTTTATATATTGGTTGTAATATAGAATTGATCCCCCACTTTATATCCACAGTATAATTTCGTTTGTTTATCACATTCTGATTAGGTATGAATCCACCTCTTCTCTCCCCCAGCTATGGGTTAATTAGTAAGACTTGTATCAAGAAATCATTATTATCAAAAAAAAAAAAAAAAAAAAGGGTAAAGGATTGCATGACAACTCAGTATTTACTGGAGTGGTACAGGGGAGCCTATCATACACACCAATACTCATGGAAAAGGTATGAATCCACCTCATTCACCCACCTGCTGTGAGTTAATTAGCAGGACTCTTATCAGTAAATCCTTATCTCAAAAAATTTTCTTAGAATCTAAAAAAAATTTCTGGCTTTAAATAACCTGCAAAGGTTTGACAAGCCATAGAAAACAAACTAGTCAATTTTTTTTTTTTTTCTTTTTTAAGCGTTTCACCCCAAGCAAGGCGAGAAGCCACTAAGACGCAAGGGGTTACAAAAGATTTGGAGCAAGATCAGATAGGAGTGATAGAGGAAAGGATGAGGAGAAGGATAGTGGATAGATCAAGGCAACTGGAGATGTCAACTGACATTACATTTGAATAGTTGGAGATTATAGCTCTCAGGGAAACTGGAATAGGGAAGGGAGTTCCACAGGTGAGAGGTGCAAGACATGAAGCTATTGGAGTAGAAGAGACGGCTACATTTAATAGTTTCGACAATAAAAGGGTGAGAGCGGGACATAGGACGCTTGAACTCATGAAGTCTGGGAACCAGCGAATGCAGCTCCTCGGAGCAATTGCCATGAAAGTATTTGTAAAAAAGACAGAGAGAGGCGACAGCGTGTCTGTGACAAAGTAACTGTAGACGAGATGCCAGAGCAGAGCCATGCATGTCTTTTAAATCTTTGGAATATAAATGTACAGGAACTACCAAGGCCACTGGTGAGGGATCAGTTTATATATTGATCATAATGTAGAATTGATCCCCCACTTTATATCCACTTATAATTTCTTGATTGTAGAAAATGAATGATTAATTGGTTGGACTTGTATATAGCAAAATCATCATTATCTCTAAAAAAAAAAAAAAAAAAAAAAAAATTCTTACACTCTAAAGATATTTTCTGGCTTTAAATAACCTGCAAAGGGTTGATAAGCCATGGAAAACGAACTAATCAATGAAATACTATTTAGCTACACATACATGTCTTTTAGATCTATTTACAATCTCTGGAATATGAATATATAGTAACTACCGTGGCCACAAATTGGGGGATCAGTTTATATCTCCATTGTAATGCAGAATTGATCCCCCACTTTACAATCTCTGGAATATGAATGGATAGGAAATTGGTGGCCACAAAGTGAGGGGTCAGTTTAATTTAATATTTTGGTTCTTCTTTTTTCATTTTATTTATTATTTTAACATTTTTTTTTTCCTTTTTGTTTCAAAGATCCCAGACACATGACATAGCGGCATATACTGAATATCGATACAACCATGTCATTTGAATTTATTTACATTCTCTGGAATATAAAGGTATAGAAAACTATCGTGGCCACAAAATGAGGGATCAGTTTATATATTGACTGTAATATAAACTTGATCCCCCACTTTATATCCATATAATAATTTCTTGTTTATTGATAAGCCGTAGAAAACGAATCAATCGATCAATGAAATACCGATTAGGTACACAGGCATGTCTTTTAGATTTATTTAAAATCTCTGAAATATAAGTGAGGGATCAGTCAATATATTGACTGCAATATAGAATTGATCCCCCACATTATTTATACATTTACATTCTCTGGAATATAAAGGCATACAAATTACTGTGGCAACAAAGTAGGAGGGATCCGTTTATTTATGATTGTAATATTGTTGTAACCTAGGGAGGGTTACTGAATAGGATAATCACATGAAGGTTGGTAATGAACGATAATACTTAGGACAAGAACAATGTATATAAGATTCGCCAGTGACGTGTAGAAGAAGTAGTCAGCAGCTAGAAGTGAGCCAAGTCAATTCCACAATGACTCTTCAAATGCAGACCAACATACAGTAATTACTACTGTATTCATATGAATGGAGACATGCCCATTATTGTCTGTAGGTATGCTTCAACAAATATATATCCACATAATTTCTTGTTTATCAAATTCCTATGAGATATGAATCAACATCTTCTTACCCCAGCCATGGGTTAATTAGTAGATTAAATATAGGGTTCAGCCCAAAATTTCTTGAATACATCAATCCTGGTAACGTAAAAGGTGAGGAAAAAAATGAGCCATGCTAAAAATAAGAACTAGACGAGATATCCCTAGATACAGGCAGTGGAATGAGAACAGTGTACCCACATAGATTAAATAAAGGGTTCAGTTCAGAATTCCCTGAATTTATCGATCCGGGTAACCTACAGGGTGAGCAATAAATGAGCAGTACTAAAAATAAGAACTAGACAAGATATCCCGAGACACGGGCAGTGGAATGAGAACAGTCTGCCACCGTAGATTAAATAAAGGGTTCAGTTCGGAATTCCCTGAATATATTGATTCGGGTAACCTACAGGGCGAGCAATAAACGAGCAGCACTAAAAATAAGAACTAGACAAGATATCCCGAGACATGGGCAGTGGAACGAGAAGAGTCTATCCCTGTAGATTAAATAAAGTGTTCAGTTCAGAATTACCTGTGGGTTACCTGGATCAATATACACCTGAAGAAAAGCAGAGAGCACAATGGGTGAAAGGTAATAACAGCAAAAGAGATGAAGACAAACAGTACATATGTGAAAAGTGATTACTAGAAGTGAAAAAACTGTGCTACCTCTGCTTGTCTTGAACGTGTCTTTCAGGCCTAGGTAGGGGCATTTTCACATTTAATGCAAAAAAATCTTTCCAGATCATATTTCAGTTGGATTGCCTGAGGTGCCAACGTTAACTAAATCTATCTATATAATAATAAGATCCTCATTTCCTCTGTCTGTATATAACATCTGGGTAACCAAAATTGTGTATGGTAGCCAGAGGCACAGTAAAAAACACCGAGCACCAAAATTTTGACATTTTTTTTTGTCTTTGTTTTCTCCTAATTGCTTTTGTTGAGAAAGCAAAGAAATGGTTATTATTCCTTCCAAAATTTTCCTTTGTAGACCGAACATCGATGTTTTGAAACTAACCTATTATCAATTACATACCAGAGTTGCTGAAGGAGAAGTTTCAAGAACTTTTGAGAATTATTTACACTATTTTCAATGTTCGAACTGTTATCCTCATGCTTTTGCCATATTCACGTTTTGGCCATTGAAGAAAGCCAGAGCGTACAACAACAGAAATGTTGTGAATATGGCAAAAAAGATGAGGACAAGAGTTTTCTAGAAGTTTCAAGAACTTTTGAGAATAATTTACACTATATACATTGCTCGGGCCATTATCCTCATTTTTGTTACAACATGGTAATGAAGGGGAGGACAAAAGTCCAATCAATATAAATAGTGTACATAATACCTCATCACAGAAATATAGACAGATCCTGAAGAAGGCAGAGGCGTACAATGACCAAAACATTGTGAATATGACGATAAAGATGAGAACAACAGTCCAAACAATGTAAATAGTATAAATAATTACTATATCTCAGAAATATAGACAAACTTTCTAGAAATTTCAAAAATTCTAGAATGTATGTCTATATTTCTGAGATGAGGTATTATGCACACTATTCAGATTATTGTACTCATCTTTGTCACCATATTTATCACAACATTTCAGATGTTGTATGCTCTGGCCTTCTTCAGGTGATTGGAATGTCAAACTGAACCCTTATAGCATAGAAATGAATACAATATGGGAACCAGTAATAAGGAGTTCCATAATAACAAAAATTGCAATATGAGCTCTGGTAAAAAATGGTTGCTGATGACATTAGGTTTATAATACCCAGAAATTCATACACAGATGTCCTCAAGGTGTTAGATCCAGTGACAGGACCCAAAGTGTGTGAATTTTTGGTGGTGGAGAACTTGGAGAGGGGAATTAACAGGAGATAACTGATAACTGACATCCATTAGACATGGCATGTGGAAGTAGAACAGTCTACCCGAGCAAGCTAAAGAAAGGGCTTAGTTCAACATTCCAACCACCTGAAGAAGGCCAGAGCGTACAATAGCAGAAACATTGTGATAAATATGGCAACAAAGATGAGGATGAAAGTCCGAGCAATGCAAATAGTGTAAATATTTTTAAGTATTTTTCTTTACAATGATGAATTAGAGAAAAAAAAAAGTATCTCATTAGTATTTTTTTCTTTTTTAGTGTGCATTTAATAAGTCTTTATATCTTAGTAATACATTTCATATAAGTGATTGTACTACTGAAAAAAATATGCATATAATATTGGTAAGCACAGAAATGTTTGCTTATCTGTAGGTGGCAAAATATTTTATCAGAGACTGTCTTAAATGTCTACTTTCTTAGGCAGTCAAAATCAAAGAGAATTTAGATTTTTATTTCTTTTTGGCGGTAAAATGCTTGTTCTGATACATCTTGAGAATATTCTATATTTTATTTAACTTTTGTTTATAAACTAACTTTTTCCTTATTTATTTTTAACTACAATTTGTATTTTGTGTTTTAAAGTATTTCATTAACTGTTAATTTTTTTGTTTATTATTAATTATTTTGGTTCCAGATGAATATGGTCGACTAACAGATGTTGGTGATTATTTAATAAAAAAAATTCATTAAAAATGACTAAAATAAAAGAAACAAACAAGACTGAATACTAGTAATATATTTGAAAGTAATTAGTGTATTATTTAAAGAACATATATGTATATCTGTTGGGGCGCACCCACCTTCTAACTAGTAATGGACTGGTCCCTCTTATATAACTCAGCTCTGGAGAGAGAGTGACAGAGCGGCAGAGAGAGCGTCAGCAGTCCAGATAAACTTACCCGGTACATACCGTTGGACTATAGACTTTGGATATTGTTTCGTACTAACCAACCTTCGTTCTACTAATCACTCTATTGTTAATTGCTTTTATGAATATACCAGTATTTTCCTCTACAACTGTGTTTGTCTTGATTCATACACCGACACGCGGGAAACTCACAACATCTCAACAATATCATTTTGGCAAGTGCAGAAATATTTGCTTATCTGCAGGTGGCAACATTTTATTAGAGACTGTCTTAAATGTCTTTCTTAGGTGGTCAAAATCAAAAAGTTTAGATTTACATTTCTTTTTGGCAGTAAAATGCTTGTTCTAATACATCATGGGAATTTTCTGTATTTTAATTAACATTTTTTTATCATGTAATTTTTCCTTTTTTACTGCTAACTACAGTTCCTATTTTGTATTTTAAAGTATTTTATTGTTTAACTGTCAATTTCTCTTTTATTATTAATTATTTTGTACTTTTAATAAGTCTTTCTTTTATATCTTAGCAATACATTTCATATAAATGATTGTATTACCGAGAGAACAAATATGTATATAATTTTGGTAAGCATAGAAATGTTTGCTTATCTGTAGGTGGCAAAATATCTTGTATTTTAAAGTATTTTATTGTTTAACTTTTAATCCTAAAATAAATAAATGCTACTTTTGAATCACACATCGTTCTGTCCTTACTTTGTGCAAACGATAATGTTCACATTCAGCAGTTATCCTGATGTAAATAGGTAACTTTCAGAAATATCATCATCCTGGTCACAAAAGCAATGTTTGAAGGAAATATTAGCCATTTTTCATACTTTCTAGGCATCAGCAAATAAACACTTGCTACCAAAGGACAAAATTCATGTTAGTGTAATCAAAAATTCTGGTGATTTGCAACTGAAATAATATTTAGGTTTTATTCCAATTCTAATCATTGCTTTTTAAAACAATAAACATTGCCTAAGAGTGAAGGGAGATGAATTATACATGTATATATTCAGTTTCATCATATGTTTAGGTTTTATTCCAATTCTAATCATCACTTTTTAAAACAATAAACATTGCCAAAGAGTGAAGGGAGATGAATTATACATGTATATAGTCAGTTTCATCATATGTTTAGGTTTTATTCCAATTCTAATCATCACTTTTAAAACAATAAACATTGCCAAAGAGTGTTTATATAGTCACTTTCATCATATGTTTTTTTATTCAATTCTAATCATCACTTTTTAAAACAATAAACATTGCCAAAGAGTGAAGGTAAAAAATATATCATATGTTTAGGTTTTATTCCAAATCACTTTTAAAATAATAAACATTGAAAAGGAAGGAGATGAATTATACATGTATATATTCACTTTCATCATATGTTTAGGTTTTATTTCAATTCTAATCATCACTTTTTAAAACAATAAACATTGCCAAGAGTGAAGGTAGATGAATTATACATGTATAAATTCACTTTCATCATATGTTTAGGTTTTATTCCAATTTAATCATATAATAAACATTGTTTATACATGTATTTCATTTCATCATATGTTTAATTCAATTCTAATCATTTTTAAAACAATAAACATTGCCAAAGAGTGAAGGGAGATGAATTATACATGTATATATTCACTTTCATCATATGTTTAGGTTTTATTTCAATTCTAATCATCACTTTTTAAAATAATAAACATTGCCAAAGAGGAAGGTTTGGAAAAAAAATGCCCTTTTGACGCAATGTCTTATTGTGAGCCCATTTACCAAAATTTAATTTGAAACAAAGACAAGAATGATGAAATGTTATGTAATATCAACCCTCCTATATGATAGTAAATTTTCAATAACTTCTTCATAGATGAAAAAGAGACTTGTGGCAACAAGAGATGGAGTTCTATAAAAAGATGCTGACATTGTAGCAATTTGAACAGCTTCAATTCAATCCATACATTTTTTTACTTTACAAATGTGTCGGCAAACAAAAACCAAACAAGAGAAACACAAAAAATGTTTTTATAATAAGAATCTTCATTTTATTGTATGACATACAAAACAATCAAGTGTGTGATTTTTATATAGTAAGAGTTGTAATTAATAGCAGGAGTTATTTATCTTTAACTGTAAATTCTTAAAGCCTTTTAAGAGAAAATATTTTTATCTCAACTCACAGAAAAGATTTCAATTCATGAAATATATTTCAATCTCAATAAAAGAGATGTTCAAAGTTGCTTTGCAAATGTTGCAAAAATATTTGGTTGGCAAACTGCATGTTCTTTGAGTAGAATTCTTGTTGTTTCGATAAAAATCATTGATGTTAAAATTGAAGTGTAGTTTGTTGGTGAGTGAGTGAATTCAAAGCTTGGGATTATGTTAGGAAATCTAACTTAGAAACTTCAAAGCTTTGAAATGTCGCGAATTGTTTGATGCCGCAAAGCTCACTCTTAGAAGTTGAATAGTTTCTGTAGCTTGTAGTTCAAGATATGTGCAATGTTCATACATACATGTGTGTGTGTGTGTGTGTGTGTGTGTGTGTGTGTGTGTGTGTGTGTGTGTGTGTGTGCGCGCCATAGCATCTTCATAGCATTTTCCCTTAAAGGAACAAACATGATTTCTCCACAGCTACATCTTGTATGTGAGAGAAGGTAAGAGGAAAAGTTGGAAATGTGTCCAAATATTTATATTGTTGTATACCACATGATAGGCTTGAAGCACAGATTTTTGGCGGTAAATTAATTATAACTGTGAGGCCATAGATGAAAGCATGATATTGGCATTAATTGACCAATCAAGAGTCAGAGAAATATCAAGGCTCTGTGATCCACTTTTTTCTTTTAACAGATGTTTCAGATTGCAGTACTGTTACATGGGAAATGTATTGGAATCTTTTTTAAGCAATGGAATTAGATCACAAATAAAATATTAAATTGAAGTAGAACACTAAAACATTACTACAGACCAGGGGTGGCCAAACCTGCTTAATTTAAGGTCAACTTCAGACATTTGAGAGCTGCAAGAAACAAAATTTACACAGATTTTTGTTACATACATATTAATGTTAAACTTAGATTTTAAATCTAACGGGGTGTCGATTCATATGCAGAAAATAATTATAAAGCTTCACATTTTTCTTATTTACCTTTTATATTAACGATGATGAAAAAAGCTCAGGTAACATATTTCCACGAGATGCATATTAAAAGGACCAGAAAGTCACACGTGTCTTGAGGCACCATTTGATCTCCCCTGCAATAGGGGAAGCAGGTCCACAACAAGAAAGTTTTATGTAAAATTGAAATTAAAGGGCCATATATTTAGAATCAGAAAAATGACACATGATGAGGAAAGAAAGCTTAGAGAATATGATATTCAGAGGATGTAATGAAAACAATAAGGGGAGAGAAAAACAGTGAGTAACCTACTTAATGAACAAGCATTGGTAAAAGATACAAAGGAGAGGAAGTTGTGGAGAGCCATGATTGCTCACATTCTGAAGGGACACAATTCTTAGCAAGCACATCTCACAGACCAATAGTAGCGTACTAAGATCGATGATGGCAAAGTGCTTCATATTTTAGCCTTGTGCCAAACTAAGCCAAGTCACATAAATTATGCATGCGACCATCGTCTAAGGGCAGGGTTTTAAATTAAAGTTATGGCTTTTTTTTAAAAGCTCTCAAATCAGTGAATAGGACAACGGTAGAATGAAACTGCTCGCAGAACACTGAATACATATTCATTGCTATTCTGTATTTGGTTTTATTCTCGCCTGAGATGCGGTGATCATTGTGTCGAGAGGGTGTAACAGCTGGTGCCAGCGATGAGCTGGGAACATCGATGAACACCAGCTTCCCTAAGTGTCAAGAGAACAGAGAAAAGAGGAGGGACAATTAAGATTCCATAAACAAATATTTTGTATAAAAATGAGGGAGGGAGAGAGAGAGAGAACAAATATATGAAGGGAAAAGCACAACAAAAAAATAGGGATAAAAAGAGAGAGAGAAAGGAGAGAAAGGAGAGAAAGGAGAGAAAGGAGAGAAAGAGAAAGGAGAGAGAGAGAGAAAGAGAGAAAGGAGAGAGAGAGAAAAGGAGAGAGAGAGAGAGAGAGAAAGGATAGAGATAAGAGGAAAGGATAGAGAGAGAGAAAAGAGAAAGGAGGAAAGAAAAGGATAAATGAATGTGAGGAGAAAAAAGGAAGAGAGAGAAAGGAATAAAGAGGGAGAAAGAGAAGGAGAGAGAGAGAGAAAGAAAAAGGAAGGAATAAAGAGAGGAAAAAGGAGGAAAGAAGGATAAATGAATGTGAGGGGAAAATCTCAAAGAGAGAAAGGAATAAATAGGGATAAAAGGAGAGATATATATAGAAAAGGAAGAAGGAGATATTCAGTCAAAGGGATATAAATGAATATATAAAAAAGAGGGAGATATTCATCAAATATATATATATGAGAGGGAGATATTCAGTCAAAGGATATATATATATGAGAGGGAGATATTCAGTCAAAGGGATATATATATGAGAGGGAGATATTCAGTCAAAGGGATATATATATGAGAGGGAGATATTCAGTCAAAGGGATATATATATATATATATATATATATATGAGAGGAGATATTCAGTCAAATGGATATATATATATATATATATATATATATATATATATATATGAGAGGAGATATTCAGTCAAATGGATATATATATATATATATATATATATATATATATATATATATATATATATGAGAGGGAGATATTCAGTCAAAGGGATAAAGGGATATATATATATATATATATATGAGAGACAAAGAGGATCAGATAAAGAGAATAAGTGGGATTATTAGTCTAATGAGTAGACTTTGATCATCTCTAGATCTGTTACTGTAACCCCCCCCACACACACACACGCCAGAATAAGCAAATATCTTGAGAGCAAGCCATGAAGTACTGAGGAGTACTGATGTAGTGGGTTCGATCCTCACTGGATTCCCTCTTGTGACCCTTTACCACATTGATTCAGGGTCAGTGCATAATCGCAAATTGTGCTAAATTACCCTCTGTGCATTTATCACGCACATATATTCCACATCCTGTTTGACACCCCCATAGAAAACAGCCCGAAAAATATATCCATCAATTACATTACATTCCATAGGTTTGTAATAAAGATAGCACTAAGTGGGCAGCCCATGTAATTAGTGGTACTAGGCATGTAATTAGGGGTACTAGGCATGCAATTAGGGGTACTAGAAATCATGCCACAGGTAAATGACTGAATATAAATAAATGGTTCTTGTAAATCCCTGTATCAGAAAATGACAATAGATGTGACTAAGTTAATATCTATTTCTACTACTTACATGATCCAAGTTGTTGTCCTCATCTTTATTGGCAGATGTTTCGGCTGTTGCAACACCTTCTTCAGGTGATTTATCTTTGAACTGTTGTATCTTAGAAATGATTAAAGATATCTTACTGGAATTCTCCAAGGTTTTTATAACACTATTGAACTCTACTTTGAATTTATTTAGCACTAAGTTGAAATGATGATCCCTCTTCTTCTTGTGACCTTGCAATCCAGTTTTCCTCTCTACTGTTCCTTCTATTTTAAATTTATTCACCGTTCTCTTGATGGTTCTTGAGTGGACTTTGAAGATGGAAGCCAGAGTATAAATGTTGGTACCATTACTGAAAGCCTGAATGATCTTTTTCCTCTCACCATTGCTCGGTTGTAAGACAGTGAGGCACGGTGAAGTAATGGATAGCGGCTTGGAGAGCCGAGTTTGAATTCCAGTTGAATCCATTACATTCACTTCCGTGCTAATACCCTTGGGAAAAGTGTGACTCCTGTTCTTCTCCCTCCAGCTATGGATAAATAGCAGGATAGACTGGATTCTATAGCCTTGGATAGCAACTGGTCTAAGAGAAGGAAAACTCTGAATTCAAAACCTGCGGAGGGTCATTTGGGGACCTTGTGGCACGTAGTGCACCAGGTCTCTGTAATCGGCCCTTCAAAATGTGTGGATGGTCCTGCACAAAACCTTCACCACTATAATCAAATCTCATGTGCTGCGGTCAAGTATTGAACACCGAACTCTTTGGGCGAAGTCACTTTTTGGATTATTCAACCAAAGACTTTATCCAGATGGCCCAGCAGATAAAAGCATTGGTTGAAGTTATCCAAAAAGTCACTTGACTCAAAGATTAAGGCAACAGTTCAAACAATGTAGATAGTGTAAATAAATATTTATCCACTTATTTATATAAGCTTTAAAACATGAAATTTCAAGATTGTATTTTTTGCATGTTTCTCCATGACATGACGCCTTTTTTGAATATTTTAGTTTTTTCCTTTCAGTAACTGAACCCTCTGAGTTTTGTTCACCTCTGCTGTGGACAGGTATTGAACTCACAACTCTTTGGGTCAAGTCACTTTTTGGATTACTTGAGCCAACACTTATCCAATATTTCTTCATTTTTCTACTGAAGAATTTCTTTGATTTGGTTTTAAAATATATTGGGTTAAGTTGGAAATAATTTCCACTTATATATATATATATATATATATATGAAAAGTGGTGTTTTATAAATTCTTTATAATTATTTATATTTATGATGAAATATATTGGGTCAATATCAGAGATAGAAACAAACTCACATCAATTTATCAATTTTATATATATATAAATATATATATTTATTCAATTATATATATATATATATATTTATATATATATATATATATATAAATAAATATATAATTATTTATATATATATATATATATAAAATGCACTTGTGTTAGAAAACACTCAATATATATATATATATATAAAAAACTGTGTGTGTGTCCAACCAATATATATATATATATATATATATATATATATATATATATATACACACATATACATATAAAAAATTTACAAGAGGATAGAATCCAGGTAGAACTCAATGTCCAGGACAGAGTAAGAATATAATAAAAAGGCTTCAACACTAATATTCCATGGTTATAATTTATTACATTGGAATCGTAATTACGATCCAATTCATTATATATATATATATTTTTTTTTTCACAAGAGGAGACATGGTGGAGTTTGAATTCCAGTCGAATCCATTACATTCACTTATGTGCTAATACCCTTCTGAAAGATGTGAATCCTTTTCTTTTCCCTCCAGCTATGGGTAAAATAGCAGGACAGACTGGGACCTATAGCCTTGGATTGCAACTGGTCTCGGAGAAGGAAAACTCTGAATTCAAAACCTGCGGAGGGTTGTTTGGGGACCTTGTGGAACATAGTGCACCAGGTCTCTGTATTCAGCCCTTCAAAAAGTGTGGATTGTTCTGCATGAAACCTTCGTCACTATAATCAAATCTCACGTGCTGTTGTCAGGCTGTCGGTTTCCTGGGAACTGATCTGCTTGACCCTTATACATTGAATTCGACAGGAGAGTCGACGACTATTTATTCACCACCACTTGCTGCCATGCCTAGTCTGGTACAAATGCTAGAAATTTTTGATAAAATCCAAAGAAGAATCAGCAATGTTATTGGTCCTGACCTGGCATCTCAGCTTTAGTCCCTTTCTCACTACTGTAACGTAGCTTCCCTGTGCCTTTTTCTATAAATAATTTCATGCTAATTATTCCGATTTTGCTCTATGGTAACCAGATTGGCGGTAAGGTCTCATCATTTTACAGTTGAAAAGGATAGATGTAATCATAAGTTCTATGCTAACAATTTTCTCTATCATACTTTTTCTTGTGACACTCTTCCGACTTCTTACTTCCAAGTCAACTTTGATCTTCAAAAAATTTAAATGCAATGTCAATCGTTATCTTCTGTTTTCTTAATTCTTGTTCTTTTATTGTCCTCTTTCCATGATAGTAGTTTTTCTCATATTCTTTAACACTCGGTAACCACTTGAGCCCTAGTGGCTTTATTGCCTTGCTTGAGGTGAAATAATTAAAAAAAAATTCTACAGATTTTGATGCAAAAAACTATCTGCAAAGTCTGGAATCTGTTTTTCATGTGAACTAGTTTTCTCCATGAAAGTGTTTTGTACCGATTCAGAAAGAAGACCGAGAGAAAGAGAGAGAAAAGAAGGTTTGGTTTACTTTGCTTTATGGCATATCAACACCTCAATGGGTTATTTAATGCCAACAAGATTTTTAGGATAGGTTCGCATGAATAGAAAATGTATTCATTGTAAGAAATCTGTTTGTAAATCAGGTTTCATTGACATATTTTTGTAAAGAGATTTTTGTCGAGACTCAAAAGTATTGCTGGTAATATTTTGTTTTGTTATCAAAAATATAGTGCTGATATTTTCTACTATAAAAATGTATGTTTATTCATACCATTTTGACCCCAGTTTGGGCCTTAACTATTTACCCATAGCTGGGATGCTAACAGGTCCTACCAGCCCGGGTAAAGGTCAACCTAAGAACTCCAACAATTAAAAAGTGATTCCACACTCCTCAAAACCTCTCGATTAGAGACCTTGCTGCCAGATGTAGTTTATCATCATACCCAGGAAGTAGGACTACTTTGAAGGGTGTTTTTAATATAACATGTATTAAAGAGGTGTTGCTACCCAAATATATAAGTGTATCAGTTTGTAGAAGTCTGATTAAATTCTGTATAGGCGAACATTATATAAATAAATACTCTTACTACATTGTGTGTGAGTGTGTGTACATGACATTGACATCCATAAAAAAACTATTTTTTCCCCCATTTTATTTCTGTCTTTCTTGCTTGCTTACAAGTGAACGTTTTGTAAGCTTCGACAAGCAGACTTTTCCATAAAGGCATGTCATGCTGGAAAATCAATAAACCTTGCTTCAGACATGTGGGAGCAAGTCTAAGTCAGGTTTATTTAAATATAGGCTCACCAACACAGGTATTAAGAGGAAAAAAAGGGAACCTGCTGTATGCGCACCTGTACGAATGGCGTGTATGCAGTTTGCTTAAAATGGGATTCTCATTTATTGTTATGTCAATATTCTTGCAGGAGAAAGGAGGGGGTGAAAAGCCGTTAAAATGAAGCCAACACCACAACGGAAACAAAAGAATGACACACATATATACACAAAAAGAAAGTATGGCGGGGCGGTTTGAGAGAGGAGCAAGATCTTGTCATACAGAGAAGTGGTATGAAAGAAAGAGCTCGTCAGGTTTGCAGAATGGGGGAATCCAGACAGTTTTTCAATGGGGGGAGAGAAGAGACAGGTCTTCACAGCTGGGAGTGGAATCAAGGCTGCCAGGCCTTCACAGCGGTGGAGGAATCGAGTCAGTCAGGCCTTCACAGCGGTGGAGGAATCGAGGCCTTCCTGGCCAATGGAGGAATCAGTCAGGCCTTCACAGCGGTGGAGGAATCGAGTCAGTCAGGCCTTCACAGCGGTGGAGGAATCGAGTCAGTCAGGCCTTCACAGCGGTGGAGGAATCGAGTCAGTCAGGCCTTCACAGCGGTGGAGGAATCGAGTCAGTCAGGTTTACAGGGTTGTAGACTACATTATACTGGTGAGTGAAGAGGAAAGGGATTATACTAATGGGTGGAGGCAAAGCTGACAAGACGTGGTGATGAGTAGAGGCAGGCTATTAGACCACGTGGGAAAACAATCAGGAGGTGCAGAAAAGAGAAATGAGGTGCAGAAAAGAGATAGAGAATAGCAGTACAGAGGTGAGAGAGTTGTACAACAAGAATGTGGGGAAAAAGAATGAGTAAGAGCGAGTGAGGTAGCCACTGAAAGAGGGGGGAGAGGGAAAGGGAGGGGGAAGATGGAAAGAGAGAAGGGGAATGTGTAAGAGAGAGAGAAGGGAATGAATGGGAAGAAGGGGAATGGGAGAGATGGGGAATGGGAAGAGAGGGGGAAAGGGAGAGGGGGGAAAGAGAGAGGGGGAAAGAGAGAGAGGGGGAAGAGAGAGGGGGGAAGAGAGAGGGGGGGAAGAGAGAGGGGGGGAGAGAGAGGGGGAAGAGAGAGGGGGGGAAGAGAGAGGGGGAAGAGAGAGGGGAAAGAGAGAGGGGGGAAAGAGAGAGGGGAAAGAGAGAGGGGGGGAATGGGAGAGAGGGGGGAATGGGAAAGAGAGGGGGAATGGGAAAGAGAGAGGGGAAAATGCCAGACAGATGCACTGAAGTTTGCAGAAGTTGAAGCAAAACATTTATCACCGTAACGCACCATTCTCAACCCAGAGAGCAAACAATGACAAACCATGAAAATCGTTCAGGTAAATTTGTCTACCAAGCAGACAAGGATGACGGCATATGTCAAATGTCGTAGACCGTATATTCTACGGCCTATTTGTACGACCCATTTACACAGTAGCAGGTCATTACAATCGATATCAGCCGGCACACACACCTTCACTTGCCGGAGAATGTCTCCTCCTGGTGTATTCAAGAAATCCAGACTCCCATTCCCCTAACAGAAGATCCAAATTCATCATGTCTTAAAAATGAAATATCATTGATCCTGATTGCGACTATTGTCAGTTTTGCCCTAAAGCGAGTTAGAATCAGATCTCCGAGTTTAGAGCCATCAGCAGTTAACATTCTTAAAGGGGCCTGTCTATACGATCCAAGGCACGAAAATAACGTTGTCTCGACGAAGCGTGAACGATCATTTGTCCATGTGCCGTGTCCCTTCAGAATGTGGACGATCATGACTCTCCACAACTTCCTGTCATCTGTAGCACTTATTAAAATTTATGTTTTTGCTATATCTCCTATCTCCTGTTCTACCAGCCATAGACAGGCTCAATACATAGGCTATACGCTGTTTTCCCCTGTTCCTCTTACCTTCAAATCTGTCCTCTGAGTGTCAAATTTTCCTAGCTTTTTTCCTCATTACATGCTCTAGAAATTTCAACTCTTTCTGCTTGTTATATAGGAATAAAGTGTAGCTGCCGACACTGGAGTTTGAACACAGATCACCAAAAAGCAAAAACAGGCGATCCCATTTTGAATAAGTAGATCACGTGATGGTAAAGAAAATGTATATATGGGAATTAGCGTGGCATCTATCCGGATTATTTCGGAAGTGTGCTTGTCAAACTCTCCGATTCCGAGCAGAGAGGAACCAAGACGAGGCTATGCCAAAGGACAGAGTCTCGTCTTGGGAGGTAGACAGCTACGAGACCCCGTTTTTAAGGGTCTACGGCGAATTTTTGCCGAGCTTACGGGTTCGGATACCCCACAATAAACTCAGCCTTGTGCCACATGCGACCTCGTGGGGCGGTGGGTGAATATCATTACTTCGGAAGTGTGCTTGTCAAACTCTCTGCCTCCGAGCAGAGAGGAACCCAGACGAAGCTATGCTGAAGGGTAGGTGTCATCTGGAGTGGTAGACAGCTACCTGACCCCGTTTTTACGAGGTCTACGGTAAATTTTTGACCGAATCTACGGGCTCGGATATCCCACTATAAAATTGGCTTTGTGCTGCATCCGGCCGCGTGGGGCGGTTAGTGAATATGTCACTATACGGATTACTTCAGAAGTGTACTTATCAAACTGTCTGCATCCGGGCAGAAAGGGACCCAGACGAGGCTATGTAGAAGGGCAGAGTCTCGTCTCGAGAAACAGCTACCCGACACCGTATTTACGGGATCTGAGGTCATTTTTGGCCGAGCCTACGGGCTCGGAAACCCCACAATAAACTCGGCCTTGTGCCACATCAGACTGCGTATGGCGGTTAGTGAATATCTCACTGTGGTGGTTACTATTCGAGCGAGTATTATCGAGCAAGTACTATTGTGGGATCTTCCACAACAAACCAGCCTTACCTCTTTTTAGGAAATGCACTCTTCCTATCTGGCAAGTAACATCCTACTTTCATACAAATATAACAAGTATTCATTGGTCAATCACCTCCAATCTAGCTTGTTGATTGGTCAGAACTGACCAATCAATCCGCCTGCACGCGACCAATCTGTTTTCCCGCTCATATGCTGGGAGCCTCACGACCATTATATAAACTGTAAACTGCCTCGAGTAGTAGTTTTTCTTTCCTATTCATCTCTCTCGCACGTCTCATTCCTTGCTACCAAGTGCCAAGATGTAACCTTCAAGAACTCCCGTCTTAGTCATTGCTGGCCAGACGTTAAAGACAATTACCTACATTCACAAACTCTGAAATCACTTCTGAACTTTTACCAACTTCAGAACTCACAATTCCAAACTTTATTCTGCTAAATTACAGTTTACAATTACTTCTTAATATGAACTCCGGTACAACTAATACCTAATCAAAGGGACACGACTCTGTCCTACCTTTTCAGTTCGCATGCATGTACATCAAACATTAATAAATCTAATTGTTATGTTTTGAAATCATTCCGTTCAGTTTTGTATTTTATTCTATGTGCTACTTACGTCAAGTATAAATTGCATTGCGTTCACGCATTGTACTTAATCCCACCTTTCCTAGCCAAAGTTAAATATTGATAACACCGTCACTACATAAATGGCAACCCCGACGTCCGTCGTTCGACGTTCACAACAACAATGATAATACAACCGCTACACTATTAGTGCAAGTGTTATTCAAAAGCGTCTGACACCAGGATTGTTCAACGGCGTTACTATAGTTGTATCTGCGATTACAAAGTCTCTACTACAACGAGCATTACGAAAGTGACAACGAGTATTCGTTTACATCATAAAAGTATTAACGAGTGTTCGTTGACACCACAACAGTGATGATACATATAAATGTTGTTTTTGTTCCCATTTTCTCTAAAACTTCGTCGTTGCTCATGTGTAGCGGAACTGAAAGGTTCTGCTGAACTGACTACAGTTCGCCGTTCTAAGAGGCAACGAGTGGCATGCGTAATATGTAAGCAGAATAGTGGACGCTTACGCAAATGTAGCAACAGGCCCTGGCAAAATGAAATACTGGACGAACGAGGAAAGAAAAGAATGGCCTACCACGAAATCTCGTTGGCTAGTGATTTGTATGTAAATTATGGTCGGTCCTCGGCTGTATAAAGCGAGCCGTCTTTTGAGAGAGACAGAAGCGTTCTTGTTGTCGAGAAGCGAAGGCTGGGTGTGTGACCCAATTTTGCCGTCTCTACGTGGCCTGTTGGATTGTTATGTCAGACAGTCGTTGAACTAGATTTTGGCTACAAGTGTTGCGGTTGAGAGACGAATCTGTTGCATACTTATTCCTACCGGAAGTTGACACTCATTATTTGTTTTCTTTTGCTTTTTCTTTACCAACACATCATGTGTTCAGTCGATGGTATTCTCATCATCCTTCTGTAGAGACACATTTCTGTTGCCTCAGTTCTCCATTAGACCGTCCAGAATTCACTGCCACATAGGATGATTGATATTACATAACAGTTAAATATACATTGTTTCTAACGAAAGTTTTCCGTTTCTTAATAATTTGCTAAAACTTAGCTGAGAGACCGAATTCGGTAATTCGTTAGCGTTTTACCTTCACCTTTATGTAAAGGTAACCCTGACCAAAAGGTGGTCATTGGAAAGGCAATACCTCAGCGATTAAACACCTGCTACGAAGATGAATGCAAATTTGAAATAGGAAATAATCTACACTATGTACATTATTCAGACTATTGTCCTCATCTTTGTCGCCATATTCATTACAACGTTTCGGTCGTTGTACGCTCCGGCCTTCTTCGGGTGGTTGTAATGTCGAGCTGAACCCTTTATTTCGCTCACTGTGGTAGACTGTTCTCAAGGACAAATGGCACAGTGGATAAAGGCGTTGGTTAGATCCAGTGACAGAACCCAAAAAGAGTGAGAGTTCAATACCCGGTTAAGGCAGTGGAGAACTTGGAGAGAAGAATTAACAGGAGATAACTGACAACTGACAACCATTAAACATGGCACGAGGAACAAGAATGAGCTACGAAGGAAAGGAAATTGTGAAGAGCCATCGCCTACGCCCTGAGGGGACACGGTACATTAATATACAAGGGTTGCACTATACATCAAGTAAGGTTATTCATGATTATGTATACGGTACTCAATTTTCGTATTTTTTGTTTTTATTTTACTTTAAGGTTCATCCTGTACAAGGCCCGAGGGCCACTCGAGGTAGAGGGTTACGTTAACGGGTAGTTTATATGGATAGGAGGTAAAGATAACGGTTAACCCTAGACATGAACAGGTTAAGATTGGAGGTCTGGTCAAAAGGCAGTGATCCGCGGGAAGAAGCTGTTAGAGTGGAACTTCTCGCCGACGGAATACGGAGGGAATCTTGACTTTGACTTGTATCGGTTTTCACCCTGGTCGGGTTGAACCGGCTTCCTACCGAGCAAGTACAGCATCACGGACCATCGCTGCCCACGCTCGCCGATCCTTAGCCAGGTCACACGAAATGGCGAGCCAATTGCGATTCCAGTACTTTCGGGTCCACGAGTAGTTACTTGTGGACCCGAAAGTACTGCTAGGTCATCCTTGATTGTGCTAGCCCATGTCCTCAGCTGCACATCGACACGTTTTCGCCAGCCAGGAAGAGAATGAGGGAGAAGTACATCACGGATGAGCTCTCTCTCCGGGCGTCGAGCTGCGTGCCCGAACCAACGGAGACGACGCTGGAGCATGACGGGTGGAAGAGGACGGAGACTCAGGCGACGACGTAGTGTGGCTGTGGGCACACAATCGATTCGGCGGCATTGTAGAATGCAACGAAGGCAATCGTTTTCGAACACTTCAAGCCTTCGTAGGTCAACCGCTCTAAGTGGCCACGTATCGCAGCCATAGAGAAGGATAGTCCGAACAATAGCCTGATAGATGCGCGCCTTCGTGAAAATCCAGGGGGTGTCTGAACCGGCAACCGGCGGCCTCGGGTCGCTCTGTCAATGCGTCTGTGGAAAATCTGCGGCAAACAGGGCGTTTTTTCCCTTTCTCTCGGGTAGGACTTGGGACACTTCCCTTAATCAAATCCCAATGAATCTTCCTTTATGAGCGATACAACTAACAAGAATACGGGATTATGGGTGGTTTGCTACAATGTAAGTGGCTTAGCGGGTCCTAGCCATGACGGAACCAAGGAATATCGTTCGTCCGAGCACTTTCCATGAAAGTAGCTATAGACCAGTGAGAGACTCGCCACATGCGAGAGAGATGTTTGCGTGCGGAAAATAATAATTCTCCTCCAAGGACTCGGAGACTGGGCAATATTGGAAGATTTCAAAATGTTTATTAGATAATTGTGGCCTTGTCGAAATACCTACTGGAATATTTCCTGGTTATAATAAACAAGCTTCAAAACTGAACACACAGACGTTCGACAGTTTATAAAGCCGGAATCTTCATAAATCAATGTTGACCTACTGAATTTTTTCAAGCTTAACACGATATTACAGGTGAAATCAATATGCATACAATTGCCTTGCAACATTGTACCTTGGTACTGAGTGAGGGTTGCGAATAAGAGACGGTGGAGGTGGAAGCGAGGGGTGAAGAGGTATAAACGGACAGGAGGAAAAAACGAACGGGAGGACGACAAACAACACAAAGAGAAGAGAGGAAGAAATTACGAAGACAGCCATCGACGGAAGGGAAGCACGGAGATGCTATGAACAGCGATGGATGGAAACGTGGGGTTGGGGAAATGCAGAGTTGAAATGGAAGCAGGATGCGGATGGAGGGAAGCAGGGGCATTGCAAAGATACACCGACTTGGAAGCGGGGATTGCAAAGACACCTGACCGACTAGATGGAAGCGGGGATTGCAAAGACACCTGACCGACTAGATGGAAGTTGGGGGATTGCAAAGACACCTGACCGACTAGATGGAAGCGGGGGATTGCAAATACACCTGACCGACTAGATGGAAGGGGGATTGCAAAGACACCTGACCGACTAGATGGAAGCGGGGGATTGCAAAACACCTGACCGACTAGATGGAAGGATTGCAAACACACCTGACCGACTAGATGGAAGCGGGGATTGCAAAACACCTGACCGACTAGATGGAAGCGGGGGATTGCAAAGACACCTGACCACTAGATGGACGGGGGATTGGACACCTGACCGACTAGATGGAAGCGGACACCTGACCGACTAGATGGAAGGGGGATCTAAAGACACCTGACCGACTAGATGGAAGCGGGGGATTGCAAAGACACCTGACCGACTAGATGGAAGCGGGGGTTGCAAAGACACCTGACCGACTAGATGGAAGATTGCAAAGACACCTGACCGACTAGATGGAAGCGGGGATTGCAAAGACACCTGACCGACTAGATGAAGCAAAGACACCTGACCGACTAGATGGAAGCGGGGGATTGCAAAGACACCTGACCGACTAGATGGAAGCGGGGGATTGCAAAGACACCTGACCGACTAGATGGAAGCGGGGGATTGCAAAGACACCTGACCGACTAGATGGAAGCTTGCAAAGACACCTGACCGACTAGATGGAAGCGGGGGATTGCAAAGACACCTGACCGACTAGATGGAAGCGGGGATTGCAAAGACACCTGACCGACTAGATGGAAGCGGGGGATTGCAAAGACACCTGACCGACTAGATGGAAGCGGGGATTGCAAAGACACCTGACCGACTAGATGGAAGCTAGATGGACCGACTAGATGGGCGGGGATTGCAAAGACACCCGACTAGATGGAAGCCGACTACTAGATGGAAGCGACCGGATGGAAGCGGGGGATTGCAAAGACACCTGACCGACTAGATGGAAGCGGGGGATTGCAAAGACACCTGACCGACTAGATGGAAGCGGGGATTGCAAAGACACCTGACCGACTAGATGGAAGCGGGGATTGCAAAGACACCTGACCGACTAGATGGAAGCGGGGATTGCAAAGACACCTGACCGACTAGATGGAAGCGGGGGATTGCAAAGACACCTGACCGACTAGATGGAAGCGGGGGGATTGCAAAGACACCTGACCGACTAGATGGAAGGGGGATTGCAAAGACACCTGACCGACTAGATGGAAGCGGGGGATTGAAAGACACCTGACCGACTAGATGGAAGCGGGGGATTGCAAAGACACCTGACCGACTAGATGGAAGATTGGACACCTGACCGACTAGGGAAGCGGGGGGATTGCAAAGACACCTGACCGACTAGATGGAAGCGGGGGATTGCAAAGACACCTGACCGACTAGATGGAAGCGGGGGATTGCAAAGACACCTGACCGACTAGATGGAAGCGGGGGATTGCAAAGACACCTGACCGACTAGATGGAAGCGGGGGATTGCAAAGATACCGACCGACTAGATGGAAGCGGGGGATTGCAAAGATACCGACCGACTAGATGGAAGCGGGGGAAAGACACCGACCGACTAATGGAAGCGGGGATTGCAAAGATACCGACCGACTAGATGGAAGCGGGGATTGCAAAGATACCGACCGACTAGATGGAAGCGGGGATTGCAAAGACACCTGACCGACTAGATGGAAGCGGGGATTGCAAAGACACCTGACCGACTAGATGGAAGCGGGGGATTGCAAAGACACCTGACCGACTAGATGGAAGCGGGGGATTGCAAAGACACCTGACCGGATGGAAGCGGGGATTGCAAAAGACACCTGACCGACTAGATGGAAGCGGGGATTGCAAAGACACCTTGCAATGGAAGCGGGGGATTGCAAAGATACCGACCGACTAGATGGAAGCGGGGATTGCAAAGACACCGACCGACTAGATGGAAGCGGGGGATTGCCGACCGACTAGATGGAAGCGGGGGATTGCAAAGACACCTGACCGACTAGATGGAAGCGGGGATTGCAAAGATACCGACCGACTAGATGGGGAGCGGGGGATTGCAAAGATACCGACCGACTAGATGGAAGCGGGGGATTGCAAAGACACCTGACCGACTAGATGGGAGCTGGGGCGGGAGACTGCAACGACACCGACCGACTAGATGGAAGCGGGGGCGGCGGATTACAAAGACAACCACCAACTGGATGGAAACGCGTGGCGGGGGCAATGCAAGGGGGGCGGAATTGCGAAGACAGCCACCGATTGGATGGAAACGCGGGGAGAATGCGAAGACAGAAAATAGGGGGTTGCACCATAATTTTCTTTTTTTATGGGGGTTAAAATTCATACCTTTCCGGTGACCTTGAGGGAAAGAGAGACGTCAAGCAAAATGCTCCGAGGAATAGACGTTAAACAGAATCACCAGAGAGAAGATCAACCAAAATTGTTGGTGGGAAGGAGAACTTCAGTCAAAATAGAAGAAATGTGACGTCAAATCAAATTTTAGTATTTCTTTTTCTGTTTTTAAAAACAAAAGAAAAAGAAAAGACAACTTCATGTGAATGTATCATGTGCATTATCACACATTCCAATGATTTAAACAGTATCGCCAAAGGCGAAAAAAAATCTGGAGAGGGGGGGGATACATTTTATGTATTCACCAGCTAACGTCATAATAACACCCCGAGTTGAGGTTGTAGAAATATCCATATTGCCAAAAAGAGCAGTGCCGACCGCATATAGACTGCATACATAGCACACATGATACGGTTAGTTGTGTTTGGTCGGAACTACACAGGAAAAGTATGAATCCCCCCCTCTTCTCACCACAGCTATGGATTTACTAGTTGTACTTGTATCTGAAAATCATTATCTCCCCCTAAAATAGTTAATACAGTATTCACTTCTCTCGCCTAAAAATATTTTGACAATACAAAATATATTTCAGCCTCATAAGCCGGAAAACACACACACTCTCTCTATATATATATATATATATATATATATATATATATATATATATATATATATATATGTTTAATACTGGTTATTATAAACAGAGCATTTACTTAAATAATTGTATCTATAAAAAGAATGTTAAACAAAAATGTCTTAAAATAATTTCGGACTTTGTCCATTTCATATATATATATATATATATATATATATATATATATATATATATATATATAATATATATATATAAAAGGGTATCCCAATAAATGTGAATTAACTTTAAGCCTCTAAGGACTTTTTTCTTTTAGATTTAACAACTTAAGTCTTTGGCAATTTCAACCACGTAAAGATTAACAATCAATCAAACAACGTGTTAAAGTTATCGTAGCCCATTACGAAAATGGACGTCCAAACAGAACTGCATTTCACGCACGTCACGATTTTTTTGATCAACATAATCGACCAACCGAAAGTGCAATTGCAAACGACGTAAAGTTGTCGCGGAGAGGTTCAATTCCCGCGGGCGATGACGAATAGAGGTGTCTGGATTTTTCGGCCACATTCTCGTGCACTGCAGCAATGTTTTCGGGTGAACGGTGTAAAAGAGCACGCAATGGTGTTTTCAGATCTGCCACCGACCCAGGTTGTTTGAATTTACGAACAATTTCTCCAATTGCACTCTTGAAACTTTAACACGTTTATTTATTTTCCTTTATCGGCCTGGATGTTCGAGAAATCTTAAAGAAAAAATTGCTTTTTCCAGTGGGATTTGAACCTGCGTCCATCAGGGCAGAGAGCGCTACCGTTAAACACTCTAGCCAAATTAGTCACGTCGAGCACTCATTTCTCAGATAGAGTATATCTGTAGGATAGATTTTATTATATATATATATATATATATATATATATATATATATATATACACACACACTCTTCTACAGATATACCCATCTGAGAATATATATATATCTCAGATGCTGAGCAGACCTTAGAGTTTCTTGGAGAGAGCATGATCAACAATTTGAACACACACACATATATATATATATATATATATATATATATATAATGTATTTAGTTACTTAATTTTACACATTCCAAAGTATTTTTATTTGAGTTTTCGTTTACCGCTAATAATCCAAACTAATGGATTAAGTAGCAAATTAGATAGTAGCTAATCCAACCCTTAATTAGGAATTACTGCACAAAAACCTCACTTTGTGGCCTTGTGCCAAACTAAGCTTTTAAATGAACCAACTCGAAGACATCTGAGATTTTGATTCGACAAAGTCACACATTGCAATATCAATGACTCATTTTAAAATTCCTGACAAGAGCCATTCTTCAAGAAATGAAGAAATTCAAAGACACATTTGCGAAATAAAAGTTGTAAGCACCAAGGGACAAAAATGACAGCTGAAGACATGGCACCATTTTACCAGAAACGCAACGTCCATTGTATCAACAATAATCACAGCGAATGTCCAAATGTTTATTATTATAGAAGCCAATAATGGAAATTTATAAGATTTAAAGATTCTTCATTTATGTGATGCAAGAGCAAAGGCTGGTTTTGACGGTGGGAAGGGGCAGATTATTCATAATGACCCGATAAGAACAATCAAGTACCGCGAGTCTCACGTCTCCAAGTGGAAAAGTTCCCTCCAAATCCAAGTGTTAGCAGATGTGCTGATCACATCAATAAATAACAATATAACCACACACCCCTTCTTCTCTTCCATTTTTTTTTATTCTATATACCACCACCCTTCATCTCGTTCGTGTGACAGTGAGGATGCAGGTATTTGTGGGAAATGGGGGCAGAGCTGGGATGATAAAATGAAGTGGGGAGGGGAAAGGAAGTGGTGAGTATAAGATTCAGAGAATGAGTCGTAAGGAATAACGTTTCTTTAAGACATACTCTGCTTTTCTTGGGAAACAAGAAATGGCGAGATGGTTGAAGTGTATCCTCATTCCGACCGCCAAACTGAATATTTCTAATCAACAATGGCAACGACATTTAACACAGTGAAAGAAATATAAATAACAAGATGGCAGATGCGTTCGAGTTCTATAATAATCACCTCGTAAATCGTACTTGCAATTTCATTAACAAGAAAAATAGCAACAGACAAAAAAGAAAACAAAAAACAAGAAAATAAGTTAAACATAGATAAATGCAGCAGCAATAAAAACGTAGTGTAAAAAAAAAACAAAAAAAAAACGGTTTTTCGCATGACACCGCATTTTTTTTAAATACCTTCTCTCCACGGCAATAAAAATTGTTTTAAAATGCAATGATTAGAACAGCAAAGAAAAAAAGATAAAAAAATATGAAAGTGAATTTCTACAATTTTTTATTCTTGAGAATTTACAAAATTTATTAGATTGTTTATCTACAAGAATAATTTTGTTATCTGTCTATATTTCTGAGATGAGGTATTAGATACACTATTATTCAAACTATTATCCTCATCTTTGTCGCCATTTTTATTACAACGTTTCGGCCGTTGTACGCTCCGGCCTTCTTCAGGTAGTTGGAATGTCGAATTGAACGCTTTATTTCACTCACTGGGGTAGACTGTTCTAGTTCCACGTACTATGTTTAATGGGTGTCAGTTATCAGTTATCTTCTGTTAATTCCCCTTTTAATTCGGCCGAAACGTTGTAATAAATATGGCGACAAAGATGAGGACAATAGTCCGAATGATGTAAATAGTGAAGAATAATTTTATATTTGCAACATTCTAAAAATTAATACAATTAGAACTAACGCAATATTTATCATTCACCAATTTATGATGAACATTTACTAAATTGTTAAACTATGTGAATCAACACTAAGGAAATCCTAATTTACCATTTTATAATGTTTGAATCTATTGGCAATTAGATAATGTTTTGCCAACAATTCCAATAAAGAAATAAATAAAGTTTATTATTTCGTTTATTATTTCGGTTGTTTCAATTTTAATCATTTTTTAAAACAATAAACATTGAAAGTGTATAAAATTCATGTTTCATCATATATTTTAGGTTTCTTTCAATTTTAATCATCACTTTTTAAAACAATAAACATTGCCGAAGAGTGAAGGTAGATGAATTATACATGTATAAATTCACTTTCATCATATGTTTAGGTTTTATTCCAATTCTAATCATCACTTTTTCAAACAATATACATTGCCGAAGAGTGAAGGTAGATGAATTCTACATGTATAAATTCACTTTCATCATATATTTAAGGCTTTCTTTCAATTTTAATCATCGCTTTTTAAAACAATAAACGTTGCCAAAAAGTTGTTAAAATGATAATAGCGGTGTCAATGGAAAACCGTTCATTTTCAAATTCATTTTTTTTTCTGGGCATTAAGACAAAGATGTGTCTTCTCACCGGACTTATTCAACCTATATAGCCAGGCAATTCTGAGAGTATTAGAAGTCCTGCCAGGATTAATTATTGGCAGCCATAATCTTAACAACATAAGGTATACAGATAACAGTGTTGATAGCGAACAGAGAAAGTAAACTACAAGAAGCCCCAGAGAAGGCAGTTATATAAAGCAAGAAGTAAGGATTAAACATCAACTGCAAGAAGACAGAAAGCATGGTTGTTAACAAAAGGATGAGACCAAACTGCAAATTACACATCGCAGACACAAACGTCAAAGAAGTGTGGAAATTTAAAATACACCATTGTGCAAATTAATTGAAGCAAAACGAATAATTCCGTTATTTACTTTTTCGTATTTTTACAATGAAGTATGACCCAGCGCACACATTAGTACTTCGTATGTCCATCCCACAAACTCGTTCCTTGCAGATTGACCAGATTCTCAATTGGATTTAAATCGAGAGTTTCTGGGCCAGTCTATAGTACTTTGATTTGCTCACTGGTAATACTTGCCATTGAGCTCGTGCAGCATTACAATTTTCATACGCTTCCTTGTAGTAACGTCCATCGCAGACAAAGGCCGTAGGACAACTAATCGACAGTCGAGACAATAGTGCCTGGGGGTGATAAAAAAATGATGCAATCACGGATGTCGCGATATTTTCATGGCCTAACAAATTTCCTCATACACCCCGAAAATAGATTCATATTACTGCACACTACGGTAAGTGACATAACCTGAGGAAAAAATAGAAATCGATTATACCCTGTTACTCCTGTGGGTCTAAAACTGATCGTATGTTGAAAGAAAAGAAACTAAAAAAGTTGTTTCAGTTAATTTGCACAAGTGTCTATCTGGGAATTGTTTTAGCAGAGGACGGAAAGTGTGATATCCGAAGGCTCATTAGGATAGCCAAGAAACATTCCAGAAGCTAAGCAGTGTAATAGAAAAATAGAAAAAAAATT